TTCAAAATTTTTTTTTTTTTTTTTTTGGTTTAATTTTTTTTTTACCTTGTTGGTATTTTTTGTTTTCCATGCCCGGGGTTTTTTTTTAAACCCCCCCCCCCCCCCCCCCCTTTTTTTTTTTTTTTTTTTTCCTCTTTTTTTTCTTTCATAAGTGCGAGCGAACGAGGCACTAAAAACTGGCCGTATGAGTCGAAGCGGCGGTAGGTGTGTAGTTGGTCCTAACGGAACGCTAGCATCTGCGCACGCTACTCTTGGCATTGGAGAGCGCATCCACTTTCCCACGAGGCTTCGAGATGCGCAAAGTCGGAGTGGGGGTACGAAAAGCGCCAACGGCAACTAATTGGAAAAACTTCGGATGGACTAATTCAGAAGACTTCATCTGCGGTTCCAATTTCCAATTGGAGTCTTGGAATATCTTATCAGTGACAAAATTTTTGGAGATCAGATAAGACGATGTAAAGGCTAGAATATTCATATTTATCGTGCTAAGACTACCTATTATGTATCTTTTTCCTTTTCTTAAAAAAAGGAAGAAGGAGCTCGAGAGTTTATGAATGTTGTGAGGTAGTTAGTTGTTGCATAGATTGTTATAGTTACCTACCTAACCTAGGTAGGTAGTAGTTGATTCCGCCTGGGCGGCATAGGGGTCCGGCTCACGAAGCTTTGAAATCTTTGTAATACCACAGATTTCAAAAAAGTGGAGCTTACTATAACCCGTTTGCTCGCTGTAATGTCTAAATGTTACACCGTGTTAGGTGGGATTAGGTACCTCGTACGCCTACCCCGGTTATTTTTATAGTTGTCTCTCCGTTATAACGGGTTGATTAGTTTCCACATATGACGGTAATATAGAGTATACCCTGCTGTCCTCTAACCCGGGCTCGGGTTAGCTCATAGCCTAATCCTTTACACCGCTAGCGAAAATTCGGTATGAGATGAAACGGAGCTTTTATGGAGTCACTTCCTATATCTTCATTATGTTGATTAATAATACTGTCTACTGCCAAGCCCAATACCAAAAAGTTCGGCTTTCCGATGCCGCGTCCAGTAACTTATGAACACTAGGTACCTAGTAGGTAGGTACTTCATTAATAAGTAAAGCAATGTACTCAAGTACATCTGCCAGGAGATTTATATTACAAAATCCATAAGCTGCCATTCTTATTATGACCCTTCACTTGACAAATATACCTACCAGGTACCTAACCTAATACAACTTTTATATCTTCTCTTCCTTTCTTCCTTTCTTTCCTTCTTCTAACCTCGTTACCCCCTTTTCGCTCCCCCTTTAGAGGTCGCTGAACAGCCTTGATAAGTCCAATACGTTTTCCTTTGGACTTGACTAACGTTCTCTGTTCGCTCTCTGTTAGGTCCAGGGTTGCTTTTTTCATATTTGTAGCTGCTCTCGACCGCACTCGACGATTCGTGGTATCACTGCTTGCTATATATTCGATCCCTTATAGCTATCGGAGACGCCGCTGAGGTTCCCCCTTTTCATATTCAGTTTGCGTGCCCAATAGGGGATTTGCGCGTAGCTGACGCTGTCAGGGTCAACGCGTATAAGTTGGTTGACGCCCACAGCAGCTGTGGGGCTGTAGCCATGTCTAAAAACGATTTAGAGAAGCAAGTTACTCGCGGAGACCCGCCCCGAGACCATGACGATGGGCTCACTACGGCTCAAACTACTGGCCCGCCGTCGACAAATTCGACAGTTACGGTAAACTTGGAAGAGCAACGTGAAACTGTGAGGCAGAACAATCCCAATGGCTTCTCACGCATCAATAACGGTGTTTCTGTCGAACAGGCCGAAGCCGATTTCGCCGAGCTTAGAAGGGAACTGACAGGGCTGTCCAGAGCAAGCCGTACCCGTAGCCGAAAGGGTTCCGATGTCGAGAAAGGAGAATTCACAACTCTGGAGACTCCTGGTTCCCAAGAGTCGATTGGTGCTTTTGACTTAGAGGCAACTCTAAGAGGAGAATTAGATGCGGGCAGAGAGGCCGGTATTAAACCGAAACATATCGGCGTCTACTGGGACGGTCTCACAGTCAAGGGTATTGGCGGTACTGCCAATTATGTGAAGATATTCCCTGATGCCTTCAAGGACTTTGTCGACTGCTGGACCCCCCTTATGAGACTCCTCGGCAAGGGTAAGAAGGGCAATGAAGTTACCTTACTGGAAAACTTCAAGGGCGTTGTGAATCCCGGCGAAATGGTTCTTGTCCTAGGAAGGCCCGGATCTGGTTGCACAACTTTCTTGAAGTCGATTGTAAACCAGCGATGGGGTTATACCAGCGTTACTGGAGAAGTGCTCTACGGGCCATTCACAGCTGAGGAGTTTAAACAATACCGTGGCGAGGCCGTCTATAATCAGGAGGACGATATTCATCATGCTACCCTTACTGTCGAACAAACGCTCGCTTTCGCGCTTGACACCAAGATTTCTAAAAAACTACCAGCTGGAATGACCAAGAGCAAGTTTAAGGAAGGTGTCATCACCATGCTACTCAAGATGTTTAACATAGAGCATACAAGGAATACTGTGGTTGGTGATGCTCTGGTCCGTGGTGTCTCTGGTGGCGAGAGGAAGCGCGTTTCTATCGCTGAGATGATGATTACAAACGCTTGTGTTCTATCTTGGGATAATAGTACTCGCGGTCTCGACGCTAGCACGGCCCTGGACTTTGCCAAGTCCCTTCGGATCCAAACCAATCTTTATAAGACGTCTACCTTCGTGTCTCTCTACCAGGCATCCGAGAATATCTATAAGCAATTCGACAAAGTTCTACTTATAGATGGCGGGAAACAAGTGTACTTCGGTCCCACTACCGAGGCCCGAGCTTACTTTGAAGGGCTCGGTTTTCTCCCGCGACCGCGACAGACGACACCCGACTATATCACTGGATGTACGGACGAATTCGAACGCGAATACTCTGAAGGCTTTTCGCCGCGAAATGCCCCGCATAGTCCCGAGACATTAGCTGAAGCGTTCGAGAAGTCCCCGCTTGCCCAAAAGCTGAATACCGAGATGGCAGAATACAAGGCTAAGCTTGAGCATGAACAAGAGGTCGCTCGCCATAACGATTTCCGCATGGCTGTACGGGAGAGTAAGCGAAGCGGTGCTAAAAATTCGGTCTATAGTGTCGGATTCCATCTCCAGGTGTGGGCTCTGATGAAGCGGCAGTTTGCTATCAAATTACAAGATAAGCTTACCGTAATCCTGTCTTGGATTCGAACTATTGTCATCGCCTTGGTACTCGGATCCCTGTACTTCAACCTGGGACAGACATCCGCCAGTGCCTTTGGAAAAGGAGGTCTTTTGTTCATCTCTCTCCTGTTCAACGCCTTCGAAGCTTTCTCGGAATTAGGATCAACAATGTTAGGCCGGCCAATCGTGAATAAGCATAAAGCGTACACCTTCCATCGACCATCGGCCTTATGGATAGCGCAGATATTTGTGGACACAGCTTTTTCAGCGGCGCGAATTTTGGTGTTCTCGATTATTGTTTACTTCATGTCCAACCTTACAAGGACAGCTGGGGCTTTCTTCACGTTCTATCTGCTAATCCTGGTCGGCAATATCTCGATGACACTCTATTTCCGTATAATTGCTTGTCTCAGTCCTGATTTCGACTATGCTATCAAATTTGCTACTGTTGTGATTGCTCTATTCATCCTAACATCAGGCTATCTTATTCAGTATCAGTCTCAGCAAGTCTGGCTCAGATGGATATTCTGGATTAACACGTTGGGTCTTACCTTCTCCAGTCTGATGTCAAATGAGTTCGGTGGAAACAAGTTGAGGTGCTCGGACGAGTCACTCATTCCCTCGGGGCCTGCATATGGTAACATCAGCCATCAAGTTTGCACTTTAGCTGGCTCGAAACCTGGCAGCATTGAGATAGCAGGTGCTGATTACATTACCCAAGGATTCTCTTACGCTCCCGAGGACCTGTGGAGAAACTTCGGCATTATTATCGCTCTTATCGTCTTCTTACTTGCTATGAACGTTGTATCAGGCGAGTTGGTGAAGTACGGCATGGGTGGAAACCAAGCGAAGGTTTTCGCAAAGCCTAACGCCGAACGAAAGGCCCTAAACGACGCCCTTAACGAAAAGAGACTCCAACGCCAGAAATCAAGAGAGGCTGATGCGGGATCTGCTTTGAAGATTGAATCTAGTAGTATTCTCACATGGGAAGATCTCAACTACGATGTGCCTGTCCCAGGCGGTACTCGACGTCTACTGAACAGCATTTATGGATACTGCAAGCCGGGCGAACTCACTGCTCTTATGGGGGCATCTGGAGCTGGAAAGACAACTCTGTTGGATGTCTTGGCGGGAAGAAAAAACATTGGTGTTATTACTGGCGACATCCTAGTTGATGGTCTCAAGCCCGGAAAGGAGTTCCAGAGGTCGACCTCCTACGCCGAGCAGCTCGACATGCATGACCCCACGCAGACTGTCCGTGAAGCCTTACGTTTCTCGGCCGACTTGCGACAACCCTTCGAGACGCCACGTGAGGAGAAGTATGCTTACGTTGAGGAGATCATTGCCCTGTTGGAAATGGAAAACATTGCGGACTGTATAATCGGAACCCCTGAAGCCGGCCTTACTGTTGAGCAGAGAAAGCGTGTAACAATCGGTGTCGAGCTGGCAGCTAAGCCGCAGCTTCTGCTATTCTTGGATGAGCCGACTTCTGGTCTCGATAGTCAAAGTGCTTTCAACATTGTCCGATTTTTAAGAAAGCTTTCTGCTGCTGGACAAGCCATCCTCTGTACTATTCACCAACCCAACGCCGCCCTGTTCGAGAACTTTGACCGTCTACTTCTACTTCAGAGAGGAGGCCGCTGTGTATACTTCGGTGATATCGGCGAGGATGCATGCGTTCTTCGAGATTACTTGGGCAGCCACGGTGCTGTCGTAGGCCCATCTGACAATGTTGCTGAAGTCATGCTCGAGATCATCGGCGCTGGAAGCGCTCCCCGAGTTGGAAACCGTGATTGGGCTGACATTTGGGCTGATAGTCCCGAGCTTGCTAATGTGAAGGATATGATCTCTCAGTTCAAGGAGTCTCGCAAAGAGGCGACTGCGCATACCGACCTCTCTCTACAACGCGAATACGCCTCGCCCCTTTTGCACCAATTGAAAGTTGTCATCAACCGTACCAACCTCTCCTACTGGCGATCACCTAACTACCTCTTCACGCGTATTTTCAATCATGTTGTCATTTCCCTCGTTGTCGGTCTAACCTATCTGAACCTTGACGACTCCCGTGCAGCATTGCAATATAAGGTTTTCGTCATGTTCCAGATTACCGTCTTGACCGCTTTACTGCTACCTCAGGCCGAATTGATGTACATTATCAAACGATCAATTTTCTTCCGCGAGCAGTTGAGCAAGATGTACAGCACCTTCACCTTTACTACGGCCATGATAGTCGCTGAGATGCCTTACTCGATTATCTGTTCCGTGGCTTTCTTCCTTCCTCTATACTATATCCCAGGTTTCCAGACCGAGTCTGCGCGAGCCGGGTATCAGTACTTCATGATTTTGATTACGGAGATCTTTTCAGTCACGTTAGGACAATGCATTGCTGCACTCTCGCCTTCTCTTTTCGTCTCTAGCCAATTCGATCCATTCATCGTTATCACTTTCTCGATGTTCTGCGGTGTTGCTATTCCTGCTCCCCAGATGCCTGCTTTCTGGAGGTCATGGCTGCACCAATTAGACCCATTCACTCGCCTAATTGGGGGTACGGTGACCACTGCCCTGGATGGCGTGCAGGTCAACTGCAAGCCATGGGAGCTGAACTCTTTCACCGCGCCCGAAGGTCAGACGTGTGGTGAATACATGGCTCCCTTCTTCGAGAAAGGTGCTGGATACATCGTAGACAATGCTACTAGCCTGTGCCAATACTGCGCTTACAAGACGGGCAATCAGTTCTACGAACCTTTGGGATTCAAGTTTGACTACCGATGGAGGGATCTTGGGATCTTCTTGGCCTTCGTAGGAAGCAGCCTAATTATCTTGTTCTCTGCAGTAAGTTTTATCGCTCTATTACCTAGATAGTTTACGTATTTCGTACGAGTGCTAACGTGAATATGCAGGGACGATTCCTGAATTTCAACCGACGCTAATGTGGGATGAGAAAGAAGTATGAGATGTACGATGCGATTTAGCTCATGTGGCTATCAGCAATTTTAGACTGGGAAGATTGGGAGGAGCCCCAACAACGGATAGACGAAGAGACGCTGCATAGGTTACCTGTTTTACGATATTGAAGTGGGAAATAGACCAGGAAGAAATAACTTATACGCTAAGCATCAGACAGGATAGCCATTTGCATGATTATATTCATGTCAATAGTACCCAAAGTATATAGATTAATCATTCAAGCACAAAATACGTGCCGAATCACTTACCTTTTGGACTAGCATTATTATAACATAATATTTGTCCATAGCTTTTAGTTCCCTTACCTCCTACCTGTACATATGTCAAATATCACTTACATATAATGAATCTTTTAACGGGGGCAACTATTGCGCTATCCGGTATAATAAAATAAAGAAAACTTTCAGAAAAGGCGATTCATTTGTGTTTTATTTCGCGAAATGAATCTCATTAGTTAGCGCTTGAAGCTTTACATACCAGGTAGAATGTAGAATTCATGCCAAGTACAATACAACAATCAAATCCAGATACATGAATATAGGTGTACCTCACTTGACAGGCAAAACGAACAAGGCAGATCTCCAAAAATGGACTACGAGTATTATACAGCTAATGATGGCTGCACCCTCGCCTTTCAGACTTCGCTCCCAATCGGAGCGAAAGCAGTGCGCGAAACTCGTTACGAGCGATGCATCCTCTTGATGCATGGCTTTAGCGGTTCGAGCACGTATTTCACGAATAACTTCGAGGAGCTGAGCCGAGAACACTGCGTCGTCGCCCCAGACATGCGGGGTCACGGCCGATCAGGACGACCGCTGGGTGGTTATCACGTTGCGCGGCTAGCTGCCGATCTGCGAGGTCTAGTTGCTCACCTGAGGAAGTCCGTAAACACGGTTGAGTCAGTAAAGATTGTTCCCGTCGGATGCTCAATTGGCGCTGCGGTCCTGTGGACGTACGTGGAGCTCTTTGGCTGCGACGACTTCAGCGGGTTTGTGTTCGTCGATCAGGGACCGCTGCAAGATCGCTCGCCGTTTGGCAACTGGGACGCATCGAAATCGCACCTGGGCTGCTATGACGAGCAGACCATGCAAGCTGCGCAGCGCGAGTGGATACACAGTTCGGCCAATGCGCATAAAGACCTCGTACAATCTTGTCTAGGATACCGACATGCGCCGGAGCCGGATACTGATGACTTATCGGACGAAAGACGGCAGCGCGACGAGGAATTCTTCACACGCATCAGCGCACAATGCGACCAGACGTGGCTTGCGAAGTTGTTGGCCGACCACACGCGCTATGATCACCGTGAAGCTATCGCGGATATCGTCTTGCCTACTCTGGTTATGGCGGGCCGTAGAACAGGCTGTTTCCCTCTCGAGGGTATGAAGGAGACTGTGAGACAGATCGAGTCCAAACGCCCCGGAACAGCAAAGATGTCGATATTCTACTCTGGTCATTGGCTTTTCTACGAGGAGCCGGAGAGATTCAACAAGGAGATCACCGAGTTTGCAAATGCATGTTTTAGGTAGATTCTGAACCGTTTGCTCAATTACAAAATGCTTTACTTTAACAGATATCCGCCTGTTAGTATAACATCTACGATCAACGTATAACAGGAGGTACCTAATTCAACCTACCGGACAGCCAGGTAAGGTACCTACAAATCTGAATCAAGGCTTAACAGCAAAATCTCTCGACATGCAGGCTGCCGCAATGCGCCGTGTCTCTGATAAGCAAATATTGAAATATCGGAGTGGACTGCAAGTCCAATCAAGAATCATTGCCTCTTATCCCATCAAGCCGCTAAGAAGATCCCCACCACTTCCGACAACGTTGAATAAAATCGCTTCTGCTCCACTTGAAATAAGCTGCATCTCAACTTTTAGTGGACTCTGTTCCCAGCTCAAACTTGTACCCTAGGTTAGGTAGACATCGGCGTTATCATGACGGGATTCGCAAGCCTGAGTACCGAACTCCAGGAGCTCATATTTGAAAAGGTTAGTCCTACACTGAGTATATGATGTTAGTGATTCATCACCGACTAATGACATTTTATAGCTCCGTGAGGTTGATGAGCCACTGCATATTGCACTCAAAAACGCTAGCTTAACCTGTAAAGCGTGGCGTCATCTAGCCGCGTGTATCTTATTTAGGCGTCTCGTGTTTGAAGTCGATGCTGTACCAGAGCCCAGCGAGTTAGCCACAGGCTACTTGAAATTCTTAAAGTCTCACGAACACCTACACCCGTACGTCCGTGAAGTCGTCGTCCCCATCGGTTGCCCAAATGTGACGAAGGAGTGGTCTTTAGATTTTCTAAAACTATTGTCTTGCTTTCGGAGCCTCAAGCATATCAGGTACGATAACCTCCCTACCTTGGGTACCTACCTAGTCTTCTGTCAGGTCTAGGTAATCATTCAAGTAGTTTAAGGGCAACTTAGCTTACATGTCTAATAGTATTGGCGGGGATAAAAATGCGCATCCAGATTCCCGAAGACCTCGTGGCAGTCAGGAGTCCATATCTATGGACAAACTTAGGAACGCGTTGTTCTACGCATCAAAGCATGGCCGTAATGTCACCGTAACCTTACAACATTACACTCACTCATTAGACCGCAAGAGTCTAGATCTCCCTCTTCTAGCCCCGTCTAAATCACAAGAGCCTACCTTCAGTTCAAACTTAACTTCACTACGGATTTCATTCGTTCACTATGTGTATAATCTCTATGAGACGTGGAGAAACCCTGATTACCCCATATGCCCATCCTCTGAATTAGCTGCTTTACTAGAACCTCACAAGAACCTAGAACACTTGTTTTTACAGCTCCCAGGCTCAGAATCTTACGGCTGGCACCATGTTAATTATGAGCATGAGAGCAGCCACGCCTTGGAGAACATTACCCCTATAACCCCATATCTCAAATCTCTAACCTTACACGGGGACTTTTCAATCACAGATAAAGCTTGGTCCCACTGGAGATCGATACCGTGGTCTAGACTGGAGTCGTTAACTCTAGTAGGCACTTCTATGATAAAAGAGCTAACAGAGAGACTTGCGGACCAATCTCTCCCGTCTCTCCAAACACTCAAGCTTGCCCCTTATATGTATATCTACAGCAATTTACTCCATCATAGACCGGCCCCGCGCCCAGCGAAAATCGCCCTGAATATCAGCGTCCCTCAGTTATCTCTGACCGGATACCAGTCGGCCGCGCTTATGGAGTACCTGAGCCGTAGCGCGCGAAATGCTACCGGCCTGCGGAAGTTGCGCTTCCACTCGATAGAGCCCGGTGCCGGACCGGGGCTTTCGGTTTTCGATATAGAACAGCTCAGCATATGTACCGAGCTATCTTGGCTCGGCTTGGATATTCCCCGGGACTTTCTCCCTAATAATAACAATAGCGACGATAAACTTGGCCCTGATAGTAGCTGGCAGGGGTACCTCGACGCCATTGCGAGGCTCCGACCGCTACAACACCTCCGCACATTTATCCATAATGGCTACAGCATAGAAGACGGACTCAGCAGACATGACGTGATAACAATGTTCCGGTACATCCAATCCCGCAAGCAGGGTTGCCCACTCCAGAGCCTAGTCATCTGCGAGGACCAAGGGGCGCGGCGGGGACTGTGGGTTGCGCGGGCCTGGAGCGAAGACAAGATCGTGCTCGACTACAGGTTGCCCCTCGCCCTGAACGTGAGAGACATCTGGGACTTCAAGGTGGCGCGGTCTATGGAGATATGCGACACGAGAACTATGGAGAAGGTGCAAGACTGTGCGACGCAATGGAAGTACTGGAAGGGGTGGTGGGTGGATGAGACTGAGGATCTGTTCTGGGGCCTTTCTGAGGGGTGGTGATGAGGAGGTGCATACACGATCTTATGCTAGGCTGTCGCCTCAAGGGAGTCGTGAGCGGACGTGAGCGGAATAGTAGCGGACAAAGCGGACAGAGCGGACTATTGGCAGATCACGACATGGCTAAACCCTCCTGTTTTTCCTTTCACGTGATCGGACATTTTATCTTTTTGTTTACCCCTATCGCACAGAGCGGGATTGATCTATAGCGTCGAATAGTGCGAATATCTCATTAGCAATCGGCGTTAACGACGTTGACTCATTTTCAAATATGTGTATTGTGCGATATTCTATCGGCGTTTGGTATGTTAGGAAGTGTATAAATACCGGCCATGATGACCTCGATCACAGACGCAAAGTGTCACATATCAACTCTACATGCCATCAAAGTATTCACAAGCTCGCAGAATATAGATTTATATTATTGAAAACATGTCTCAACTAGTGTGGCTTGTCACTGGCTGCTCCTCGGGCTTCGGTGAGATCCTCATCCAGCAGATACTATCTCGAGGGGATCTTGCCATCGCCACCGCGCGGAACTTAGACAAGATCCAGCACCTCGGGAAGCTCGGAGCAGCTACGCTGGAACTCGACGTTACCGACTCTCAGGAAACTATCAACGACACCGTCGCCAAGGCCATAGCCGAATACGGGAGAATCGATGTAGTCGTGAACAACGCCGCCCATGTCACGGCAGGCGCGTGGGAGGATGTCGAGTAAGGCGAAAAAAAAAAAAACCAAGAAAATCCTGGAGGTAGATACCTATTCCCTTTACTAACATCGGGCCAGATACGACCAGCTCCTCGCGCAGTTCGACACGAATGTCTTCGGGGTCTTTAAGGTGACGCGTGCTGTCCTGCCCCATTTCAGAGAGAGGAGGGCGGGCGTCATGGTATTCATCAGCTCGCTCTCGGGGTGGCACGGGCATGCTTTTACCGGCCCCTACGCCGGATCCAAGTTCGCTTTAGAAGGTGACGAGTTCATGTTTTTTTTTTCCTTCTTCTTTTTCTGGAAACCTACTTACTGACTGACTTTTCTTTCATGCAGGCCTCGTCGAGAGTTTAGGTCGGGAAACAGAAGGTTTTGGCATCAGAACCTTGTTAGTCGAGCCCGGGCGGTTCCGCACGATGCTCCTGTCGCCGAGCAACTTGCGCGCAGTCACGTCCAAGATCCCCGACTACGCGGAGGTCTCGAGGGCGAATATGGAGGGCCTGGCAAAAGAAGATCGAAAGCAGCCTGGAGACACGAATAAGGCTGTGAAGGTCATTCTCGATCTAGTAAGGAGGGAAGGCTGCGCGCTGGGGAAAGAGGTCCCGTTTAGGTTCCCCCTGGGCAGGGATGCGTACGAGACGATCGGAGAGAAGTGCAAGGAAAATTTACACTTGCTGGAGGATTGGCACGATGTTATTACTAGTACGGATCATGATGTCTAGGTAGCCACTCCGCACTGGAACGGGGAAGGGAATTGACAGATACAAACCGCTGAGCCAAAAGTGTATTCTTAATAGCACAATTGCTATTACAGTCTATCTGACATGAGTGGTATTACCACTCACAGGAATAGACAGTTTGCTGGGAATATGTATTAGGATTATTCATTATACTATACTACGGTACATGTGATAGCAACCATCTCTCATAAACCACCACCAATTTGATCTAGAGAATCTGTTAGCTTGTGCCGAGAGATTTCAGCGCTCATCTAAGCCACTTACCGACCATATTCCTATTAGTCCACTCATTCCAATCAGTGCAAGTCTGCGACATGGTGTGGCTGATGTGTTCATTATTGTATAAATCGTCCGGACGTTCTAGAATCATCCATCCCATCCCGCCGGCTAGATGCCACGCAATATGACCTAGGCGAATAGAAATATATTAGCTCTTCGCACGATTTCAAACGTAGATTATTACCTCATTTGTATATATGTAAGGTTAGGTAAGGTCAGGTACGGTACTCACAGTGCAGCGGCCAGATCCCCGGGTTATCCTGGTTCCACTGGACCACGATGTAGTGGCCGGGCAGGAGCATCTGGACGTCGCGGCGCTGGGGATTGCTCGGGTTGACAATCGACCCGTCCCAGCACGAGCCGTAGTCGCCTATCATACTCGGCTTCGGCCTCCCCTCGTCGCGCCTCTTCTCAAGAAACGCATCCTCCTCGGTCGGCAAGCTTTCCAGCCCCCGGTGGTGGTGATACTGCGAGCCAGGCCCGCCACCAAAGAGGTCGGAAGCTTCTCCCGGGGAGAACACGTGGGCGAAGGGCGGCTGGCCGTGCGGAAACACGGTGGCGTTGTCCGCGCAGAGGCCCTCCTGGAGGACCCAGAAGTTGTGCCCGTGGATGTGCACGGGGTGCGGCTGGAAGCCCGTGTTCTGGACGATGAAGCGCAGCGACGAGTTGCTACCGTAGTTGTGCACGTTCTGGATATACGGGAATTCCAGGTTGCCGCTCCCCGCGTTGAGAAGTTGCGGGTCGTTGTAGTCGACCCGGAACGTGCGGTTCGCCATGTACCACAGGTTGGACGACCCGTTGGGCCGCAGCTCGACGGGGAGGATCTGCGTTACGCCTGGCTCGCCGGGGGATAGTGGGTAGGCCGGTACGGTGCGTGATAAGGGGTCGTTGCCGCAGTAGTGGTTATACGCGTTTGGACCAGGTTGAGTTGTGGGCATTTGTGTCCGGTCGGCGTCCTCGTAGAATATCGCTGCCGTGGCTAAGAAGGACCCCTGTTTCCCCGGAGAACAGTTGGGTGGTTTATATGCCCTAAGCCAGACCGCGTCGGTCGGGGTTCCTGTTGCGCTTACGATGACGTCCGCCCGCTGACCAGGCGCTAAAGTGACGACGTCCGTCGAGTACGGGACTATCGGCACGAAGTCGTTCGCAATGACCGTCAAATCGTATCCGTCGATAGAGATTTTTTGCACCGCAAATGCCGACGTGTTAATCAATCGCAAACGGTGCTTCTTTCCGGACGTGAAGTTGAACGATGCCAGAGGCGAGTTATTGCCATCAAAGGAATTTTTCCCATTGATCAAGTTGTTATCAGATAGGGTAACTTCGACTTTGTTATTCAGGAAGCCTTTGACGATGGTATCGTAGAGTTTGTGGAAGTAATCGCTGATAGCAATTGGTCCCATGTCGATGTCGTAGTCGGCGTGATCCGGACCGTGTATGACCATAGGCCCGGAGAATCCGCTCGCTGCTTGTGACTCGTAGTGTGAATGATACCAACCGGTGCCGTACAGCTCTGGTTTGAAGACGTAGGTAAAGGAGGACCCAGGGGCTATTGGACATTGGGCAACGCCTGGCACGCCATCCATCCATGGTGAATCCTGCTGTAACACTTTAAGAAGTCAGTCTCATTTCCGCCAATCTCACCAAGCCCTCGCGTTTATGGAATAAAGAGAAGTGCAGGAGCGGGGAACTGAGGATTGAACATACTCCCATGCCAGTGTATAGCTGTACCCTCTGAAAGATTGTTGCGTACCGTTACTATGCTATTGTCAATGCTGGTGTTCTGTAAAAGACGGTCAAGTCTCCTATTTACTCTCAAGTGAATCCCCCCAGTCGCACTCAATCGTCGGCCCAGGAAATTGGGAATTGACTAGGAGTAATTCTGCCTCTACGCCATCAGGAGCGGCCGTCTCCCTTGAAATGGTGAAATCATAAGTTCGGGTTACGCCAGTATCTGGTCGCTCCTTGTATGGGTCGGTGTTGGTAACGTTCATAGTTCCCCATGGACAGCCATGCCGTGGATCGTGTGATAAGCATTTATCAGGATACCGGTTGTGAGGTGTTCCTCCATTTGGTGTAGCTATATGCGTTAGTTTCGCGCTCTCATTCTCAACGAAGACTCACCATTGTTTAAGGAACGAACGCTGAGAGCCGCCGTTGCCCATTGGAGGAATGAAGTCATATTCGTGGAAAGGCGCCGATCAGGGTGTAAAGGTTATATTTCTGTCGATCTCGTCTAGTATCTAATAGTTTTGCGAATACCGAGCACCCCACGAGAGCAATATCAAGGACGTGATAGAACAGGTCGCCATTGGAACAGATCGTTGAAGGATGAATACCACATGATTATATACGTGATAGATGACAATAAAAATAGATAGAAAATGGTCCGCTTAGGTTTTAATGTGAGGAAACTTGACAGACCATGCGCCCACCGAGGCTGATTCCACCGCACCTTAAGAAAAGAGATACGCAACATGTCGGCGTCATAATTGAGGTTATCCTTTAACATGATGGTAAATTTAGCTTCTTACGTGTTATAATATCCCCAGTTCCGTCTGCTTCTTCCTTTACGAGCTTGATGTTATACCGTAGAAAGGCTTGGAGAAGGTGGCGGAGACTGTGGTCACATACTCCTGAATAGGTGAAGTCTTTATGATATACTACCTAGGCGTATAAATGTAGCCGATGACACTTGATAGTCCCCATTCCATCCCTAGGTACCTAGATTAAACCAAGAAGTGCTCCAATTTGCAGTGAACATTACATATTTCAGAATATAATACATCAGGAAATACTAGGTAGATACTTCGTGCGTTGACGATGCAGGCTTTTTTTTTTCTTGCCTGATTCCTTCCAATTCATGACATGTAGTACGCATAGATCATGTGAAAAGTCCCTGTTTTTTGCTACGTGTGTACGTTGGATTAAGTTTACTAGGAACCACCACGGAAGATAAAGGGGCGATGCCGATATCAATAACGGCCCCTTTTTTGATTCTTCAATGCAGATTCAACCTGCGTGCAAGTTTTATTTCATGATCTCATACATTTTTTAATGAAATCATCAGAATGAACTTCAGATAGGAACAGTACCGGGTCCTGCCTTATTGTATTGGAGCGTATACTATAGTGCTGTTTGTTGTTAATCCTACCTTAGGTACCTAGGTAGATAACATACCTAAAAGGTGAGCTTGAAAGAAAGGGATATAACAAGTTAGGGACCTACATATATAGGTTAGGTTAGATAGTAACTCCTTTTGAACGGATTTAGTTCGAATTTCTGCGAAGTACTTCGAGATATCTGCATTCTTCCTATTGATACATCTGGTACACCAGCCACATAGACTAATAACATACATTATAGACAAAATTCCAACCCTGAATTACGGCCCGCCAGTCAATATCCTTCTCTTGAACTCACACAGTTAACCTAGTCTCGACAAGTATGACGCTCTAGCGATTTAGTGACCATTAACCCCATTGGTGCCATTGGTGCCACTGGCGGAACAGCAAGCGCCCGAACCGCCATTACCGTTCGTAAAAGCGAGCTTGCTCATCCCGTCCGTCGCATTATAGGCCCCCGCGCCGTTCGCAGCTACTTGGCTCGGCGTGCTGCAGTAGCTGGGCGGGACGTCCAGGACAGGGTTGTTGGAGAAGAAGTTGCGCGGGCGCAGGAGCAGCGTCATGGGCTCGACGGGCATCACGGGGAAGTCTTCCGGGGCAGGGATGTGCGTCACTCCAAAGGTGTGCCATAGCACCACGTTGGTGTCCTCGATGGATTCCGTCCCGTCCCCGATCCATTCTGGTAGCCCGAGGGACGGCTCGCCAGATGTCTGGGGTACGTGTCTTCCTGCTGGCCATAGCTGATCATCCCGGTCTGTGACGTTGGTTCTAGGTTAGAAAATACCTCTAAAATAAAAGAGCCATAGAGCGGCATGGTAACTTACACTTCGTAACGTGAACTGAGTGCCTGGCAAAGGCGGCCCTATTCCAAACCAGGGAGCCCTCCTTCGGTAGGAGCCTAGGAACCTCCCGACTGACGAGCTTGTAGCTCGCAGGTTTCTTGCTGTAAGGATGGAGCTTGCTTGTGTTGCAAATGTCCCACGTGCGACTTGTAGTGCTGTCGTAGTCCGTGGTCGCCTTTCCGGTCGTGTCTAGCCTCGTCCGCTTGGCGTAGAACGCGTTGCCGTAGTAGTTCTCCGGGCTGCCGACTGGCGCATCGGACGGCACTGCATCTACCATGAAGACTGTATTGTTGGGCCCGTCTACGTTGGCGTCGATTCGAAGGCAGAACAAATGCTGGTGGTTGTGCGCATTGACACCTGGGTCACTGTCAGCCACTAATACAAAATCCGTAGACGTAGGCATAAGCAAGTCGCCCGCCTTTCGCCACTTACCTGGATATACTTGAGTTCCCCAGCCTTGGGTGTCTTCATCGGGGTTTAGGGCGTAGGTGTTAAGGATGCCCGTGAGCTTGATCTCGGGTTGGATGGTACCGTCTTGCTAAAGTTGAGGTCAGTAACATGAACAATTCGAAGTGACACCTTCATTCTTACATGGAAGATCCACTACTTCATGTTAGCATTCGTTCATCATTCGTACTTTTATGAAGACTGACCTGGATAGCGTATTCGTAATTGGCAGCAGTAAAGATTTGCTGAACAATAAGTTTTCGCGCTCGGGTGACGATAACCGACTCATCTCTGAAGTCGGTGTGTTTGAATAGGATACCATCGTCCTCCTCGTGTATACATATCGCATTTTTAATAGTGCGAATGCTGCCCGATCTCGTAGGGAAGTGAGCATCAATATAATGAATGGAACCCTTGCAGTCGCAGCCCAGGGTAAGACCGTTCGTCATGTACCCAGCACCGTATTCTCCGAGGTCAAAAGCATGCTTCCTTTGGTGAGGATGCTCAGGATTTCCACTGCCGCCACTGTTAGTAAAATTCACCGTGATTCAGCTCAGAGCACGTACTAAGGTACAACCATCTCCGCTAGGGAGAGACGGTAGAAAATCGGGCGTATAGTTCCCTTGTCGTTATACGTGATGTTATTGAGAATAATTCCCTCCCGATAGTTGAAGCCAATATGGAAGTTCCAGTTCTGCCACTCTAACTCTCGCCCTTTCATCGTGAAGGAGACACCTTCGGGTTGCGTTATGTTGATGGGCTTCAAGTTGTTACGGTATCCTCCAGCCTTTTCAACGGCAGCCGGGTGGTAGTTGATTGGTGGAGATTTGCTGACTGGCCTTCGTACCTTGGGAATGTCAATAGCAATGATTTCCTGCTTCTCTGCATCGAATATGGGACAGAAGTCTAGAGGGTATTGGTATTGGCAGTCGTCGACATTGGGTCGGTAGTACATCAGCGCCTGCTGAAGTCGAACCTTACTGCCGAACCTCTCATCATAACCGATTGTCCATGGGTCACAGTAGACTTTGTGCATGTCTTCTTTGGGAATTCCGCTTATTTCACATTGCTCAATAACCTTAGGATCCTTCCGACATATGTGCTCGACAAGAACCAGTTCTTCCATAGTTATCTAAACGCCGTTGTGAGCAATGTCCCTATTTATTCGACAAGTCGATGCTTACAATGGGCTGAAGTCCATCCAGTAATTCCCACTTTGTGATCTTGCCATCCGAAAGATCAACCAATCCATCGTATACCTTGCCACCAGGCGCAATCACGACAACATCAGCAACCCTAGGCGGCCGAGGAGCTTCAGCTGGGTTTTCTAGCCATTTTGTCATCTCCGCCTTTCGCGGCTCATGGAGTGAGATAACATTGAAAGAGACATCTTCATGCACCTTCTTCACGATGCCGATAACTGACTGAATTTCATCCTGACTAAGAGGATCGAAGGGGTGCGGTACTGCGGCGGAAGTAGCAGAAACCATTGTGATTGCAGTATGAAGCGTAAACTATGATGGGATAATAGAATTCAACCCCTCATGGAGATGGCACAACCTTAAGTAGGTACCTACCTAGGTAGATATATCTATATCACATGGAAACATATCTTGATATGGCCTATCCTTATGTCTCCAACTTATCTGATAGTCTGCTAGTCTACGACATGAATTACACAGTGACAGCACATATGATGTATCAAAGCCAATTAGCAATAGCATTCTCCTAAGACAGTATGATAAGAGCTCCGCTTGCCGCCTTGTCACGCTTCAGTATCACAGGCTCTGGGTTCAGATAAGTATAACCAAAGGGCGATGATAGGAAGATCTCGGGGTTCCCCTCTTTATGCATGTGTAGGCCAAGAGCTAAACTAGTCGCGGGAGAATAGCCGCATATAATTCCCCAAAGCGGTATGGGGCTAAAATCGACGGACTCTGGATGGTTAGCGATATACTTGATAGTAATGCCAACTTAAGATAAGAAGATATCAGCCATACCAAGTCAAACAACTTTTGGATATCTTCATAGTCCGATACCGGGTTCGAGTACCGTTAATCAACACAGATAATAACAACTGAAATGCATGATTTCTCACAAGAAGCCATGACATCTTCCCGAATACCGCGAGGAAGATCCCGATTCCCGAGAATCAACGTTCAACAGATGCGGAATATATATCATGAAGGAGAATAAATGTTGGCCAAGCCCCAGGTGCTATCGAGTTGATTCCCCCCTTGAGCCTATGACAGTTTTAGAACGAGGTTGTCAGTTTAAATGGGCCTTGTTGTTTGATATCTCTGTCCAATACTGACTCTCCTGGAATGAACACGATGTTAATGATATGATGTTACTATATGAGACTATTAGAAGGCTAGTTGGTGGTAAGTGAAGGGTTAGCCACGTACGTACCTAAGGTAAGCTGAGACAACATGGACGGTCTGAATGGATAAATCTTATATTCCGTCATTGAACCCATGTTATAAGAATTAACTATTCTCTCTCTATTAAGGTATGACTTGCGAGTTCCTTCTTATTTATCTTGTGTTCTTGTCTTAGGCGGTGCCTGAGATAATGACATTATGTGCACGACTTTTAAGTCAACAAAGTTGATATTGTTTACGGATTGCCCTAGCAACTACGAAGTACAATTATAAAAGAAACTCCATTGTCCCTTGTTTGAAAAGACCTAGTTACAGGTAGTCTATAAATCATTTTAACCTCAAACGCTAATATATATGGTATAAGGTACCGTAAACTCACTTAACACTTGACTAAGGGTTTACGTACCTGTAAACACTCACCTAACCCACGCCTTAAATTGGTAACGCCAAACTAAGACATTAAGAGGTAAGTGTTATTAATGGAGAGAAAAATTGCAGAAATAATTATACGGAATTATATATGTCCTTGACTTACATAATCTTTTGCGAACTGGATTTATTCTTAAAACATCAAGGCAATAGATAGCGAAGATTGGAGTGCTCACTAAGCTGTTCGATGATGATTGTCCAATTGGGATAATGTCTTATGGACCTCAACCCCACATGAGCGCTATTTCCAGATTAATAGTTTATATATTTTTCGAGGACATGATAACCTCCATTCCTACCTAGGTACCTTAGATAGGTACCTCCTAGGTAAGGTATACATCATCGCTATAAACTCCGGCTTACCTCGGACTGCATAAATTCTTAATGTTGCAGCTGACTCATCGATATGACAAATCTCAGAGATCTTACACTTACAGGATTCAATTCAAAAGTGGCCTAGTTCCACCTTTCTTCAACTCATTTAAAGCTATTAGGTATTAGTTAGAAGAAAAAGGGGTTGCTGAGATCTAAGTTATCTCAAGACTTCTAGCCCAACACACACTAGACCGGTCCACTATCGAGATAACTACCTGTCATCTAATCAAGCTTTAGTCAAGCTTTAATATTTAATTTAGCCCGCCATGAAGGAGAGCAACGAATACAGAGACTTGGATTCCCGACGGGCGGAAGCGCCAGATTATATTTCGGTAAGATTGGCTCAGATATCCTCTTCAACCTCCTCGAGTACCTAAAACTTCATATACATGGACCAGGCCCAATACCAACTACTAGTCGTAGGCCCGTCGTGAGAGAGGCAAGTTGGCCCAGCGAGCATTCAGACAGAGACAGATAGACACAATTCGTAGTCTGGAGGAAGAGAACCGCAGACTTCGCAGGGCCATTTCTGCTATAAGCGACGCTGCGGATCATAATGACACTACTCTGTCGCAAGCAATCAACAACGCCCGTAAACTTGTCGGCATCGCAGCTCCTGAGTCCAAGCGTAAGCTACCTCCTGCCCCGGCGACTCTGGATTTAAATAGTTCTAGCCGGCCGAGCACTGCTCCCATTAAAGCTACTCCCGTCGCCGCTCCTGCGCCACCTCCGGAAAATCATACTCATTATGATCTCACATTCGATTCATATGAGTTCGATGAGCAAGCGAACGACTGGTCACAGTCCTTTTCGATGGGGAGCTCAGATGCGTATGATTTAATGGCCAATCTAGATAGCTTCAATGGCGGCTCCGGCACGTCTATGGCGAGTTTAGGTTACCCAGGAGGGCAAATGATCACTACAGAAATTCCATCTGCAACATTCGAACCAGATAGAGCCATTCACGTCGCGGATCCTCCACCAGATATTGTGCCATATATGGGCAACGGTGCTTATACGCTAGCTGGCCAGATCTACTGGGCAGCACTGGCCTTTGGCTTTCAAGCACTGAGAGCTATAGTATCATCGGCGACGCCTCCACCAGTAGCTGTGAATGTCGTCATCCACCAGTGGTCTCTTACCTCGATGCGTCTATCCCTTCCTCAGATAATGCGCGTGATGCACGCGCGACTGACCTTCCGGCGCTACGGATACTTCTATTTCGCCAACGATCAATACGCGGAAGAATTAAAGGTAGATAAACCGATATTTCTTTTGATTTTTATAGCGACTCTCGACTCTCGACTCTCGCGTCTCGAGTTGTTGCTAGATTGTTTTTGAGCGCTGAAATTAACACGCATTACAGAGTTACCTTGACCCGATTCTGGTAGAGCGCCTCAGCGCCACGTTACGCAAAGATGTTAAGAAGATAGGCATTAATAAGTCCGACTTCCTGACGCCACTGGATTTCGAGAAGGAGCTGCGGGAGCGCTTCCGTGACGAATATCCCGTATTCGAAGCCGCACTTAGAGGCCAGGCTTTCGACGAGGAGCATGTTGCTTGCATGCGGAAACTGATCCAGCTGATGTCACGTCAGGCCATCTGTTTCGGAGACGGCCCGAGATGGAGACCGGAGTCTGTCGATACGCTTGTACACGGTTGGACGATGAGTACAAAAAAGGGGTTCGCGGTGCATTGATTTATCTAGTGGAAAATCTAGAGGATTAACTTGGATTAGCTGGGCATCTTTGTGTAAGAGATCTCTACTAATATGAAATGGGTGGAAATTTTGAGCATAGCACACAGCATCTTACGTTGTCAACAAACTGTATAATTAAGACCTCCTTGCCCACCTCTTATATAAGTTATACATGAGCTAAGTTAATATACGACAAATTCGCTCGCAAATCGATCATATAATCGCGCAATTTTTGTTTTATACTCATATGACACGATGAAGGATAGGCTTCTCCTAGAGTTGAATGATGAATGTTTGGACCAAGATCTAAGTACATGTCAGCCTCAATTGTTAAAATGTATTGCACTTAACCTAACGAAACATCGAAATCGATGAAATACTAGGTACCAAAGTGAAAATTGAAAATTGGATTAAGCGTATGTCACATTATTATTCTTACTATTTAGAGGATTCAGCATGTTATGCATCAAGGGGTTCTTTTTTACCAAGATAAAAATAGGGGAGTGACTTTAGGTATTGTTCGTCATTGCGGGTGCTGTGTCTCCCCAACTTTACAGTGGCGTAGCGTCTGTGGGGCTGTCGTTAGGTACCTACATGTATTGTACCCAGGTACATATACAGCTAAAGATAAGCTCCGACGGTCGCGCGACAAGGCTGAGATTCTTTAGCTTCACTTCTTTCAACTTTCATCATTCCAGGGCTTTTTTTTTCTTTTTTTCTTTTAATGGTAGAACAGACACCTAAGCGAACCTGACATAGATAATACTCTTAGCTACAATTAAATAAGCCAGATTATCTCCATCGACCAAGTTGCAACTAGTACTTCAGTGCCAAATGAAGCTTTCTTCTACTTACCGGCCCATACCATGAGAGCTTCCTAGTCCCGTTCAACTGCGATTGACGATATCACAACTTCGCCATGGCGACCGGCACGAATTCGCTGTCCGAATATCTCGTACAGCTGCCGGGAACGACGTTTAGGAAATTATACCAGCAGCCTTCTACGGCCTTCGCTATCTTCCGGCGCATGCTACCTCATATGGGTGAGAACATTCCGGCAGGCCTTCAGACTTGTTTAAGATGAAAGTTCTCTAACTTGAATACACAGCAAAGACCATTGTAATGGCCATACTTTACTCCCCCACACCACTCCTCGTCTCCGACCTTGATCTTTGGGTAAAACCCACCGCGGCCCGCGAAAAAGACCAGGCTATCGCCATCCTCCGATCCTTACATATCGTTCAGCCTCAATCCTTAGCTCTTACAGTTAACTTCAAGAATAGCCTACGACTTGCGTTAGAAGGCGGCGGCGATCATAATTCCTTCGGTGTACCATCTACGCAACCTATTCCCGCCGAGGTCGACCACGCATTTCTAGACAAGTACGCGAGGAAAAAATGGGATGATATACTTCATTATGTCGTTTCGGCTACCGGGATAACCAGCGTCCAGACGGGCTCTAACGGACCTAAACAGTCGGTTAAAGACCTTCTCTTGGCTGGTCGGTTGGTTGAGCGAAGGGGTACTGAACTTGCTATTACCCATATCGGGTTTTCCTTTTTGCTGCAGGAAGCAAATGCTCAGGTCTGGGCCCTACTGCTTCTCTGGCTCGAAGCCATCGACGTGGCCAATGCCAATGGGAACCATTCCGATATGGATTCCGTTGATATGCTCTCGTTTTTCTTCATGTTGGCGTCTCTTGAATTTGGGCGCGCATATAGCACCGACGCGCTCACCGAGAGTCGACGCAATATGCTGCCTACTCTTATCGACTTCGGCCTAATCTACATCCCTCAGCATAATACACACCAGTTTTTCCCCACTCGCCTGGCTACAACTCTCACGAGTAACGAAACCGCGCTTCGCAGTATTAGTGCCGGCTTCTCAGCAGCCACCAGCTCGACCAGCGACGAGCAAGACAAGTGCACCATCATCCTCGAGACCAACTTCCGAATGTATGCATACGTACACTCACCGTTGCAAATCGCCGTGTTGGCTCTCTTTTCAAACCTCAAGTTCCGGTTCAAGGGCCTCGTATCAGGCCGTTTGACTCGTAAATCTATCAAAAATGCCGTCGGCCATGGGATCACGGCAGATCAGATTGTTGCGTATCTCTCTACGCATGCAGACGAGCAGATGTACCGACACGCGGCGGCAGCCAATAAGCCCGTGTTGCCTCCCGTTGTCATTGACCAAATTCGCCTCTGGCAGCTCGACACCGAGCGTATTTCCACCCGCGACGGCTACCTTTTCAAAGAATTCGACGAGTATAAAGAATACAAGGCCGTGGCGGACTTTGCGGATAACATTGGTGTCTGCGCTTGGCGTAACGATAAAAAGGGGATCTTCTTCGCTACTAGGGTCGAGCAAATCAAAGATTTCATGCGATCGAGGAAGAAGGCCAACGAGGGCAATAATAGCTAAACATTTAATGGATAAGAGAAGGATAGGCCGAGTTATTTACTCGTCTTGGGGGGGGGGGGGGGGGGGGGGGGGGGGGGGGGGGGGGGGGGGGGGGGGGGGGGGGGGGGGGGGGGGGGGGGGGGGGGGT